AAAAAATATTTAAAAAACAGTTTGCAGCCATGCCAATCCCTTATAATTCCATTACGTATGGTGTTTGTCCACACGTATGCTGGAGATATTAAAACGCATGTATTGATCTTCTTTTCAGTACCATTTGCATTTGTGCCTTATTTTTGTGAAAATGATGGATGGTTAAAACGTCGTAAACACAACTGTTTCCTTACCATGAAGAGTTAGGGCTTGATATGCATCTAAAAGACGAGGCAAGCGATTCGTCCCGTATCCAGGCTTATGGTATTTCGAGCGATAATTTAGCATTTCGTTGAATGAATATCACCCACGAATTGCAATTCGTTGCTGCATTTTCTGGTGCTGCAGCGAAGTCTTCAGAACCCACAAAGATGACGATAAAAAGACGGCAGGGTAGAGGCACTTCTCACTGTTTTAAAGCATGTCAGAAAAATCTTTGTATGAATCCAAAATGACGATAAGGTTTGTTTCCAGAGTAGGCTAAGCGGCGCTTAAATCTTAAAAAGGAGGATTTCCAGACTTTTTGCGCCTATCTTTTCTAACGTCGAGTAGGACTCTCAACGCACTCTACCATGAATACCATTTCTTTGATAATTAGGCGGTAATACGTAAAGGGTACTGACATTGTCCTCTGAAACATGGCCTTGATGAGCAAAAAATCGCTCTAACGAATAAAATGATGCAAGATACATATAATACTGCAGATGATTAATATTATCGAGCTGCATACTCAATAAATTATCATACTAATAGCATCTAAAAGCAAAAGATTGGTTCATTAGATCGCGAGATCCAATTTTCTGGGCCTAAGTGCTCATCCGCGAAAGCGTACGTTGCAAAATTTATGCATAAGCAGAGTATGCTCAATGTATAACTTTCATCCTCCAATCTACCTCATAAGTACCCGCAACATTGGTTAAAGTGTAAGAATTGTATTCATAAATGACCGATCGGACAAGTTAATATTTTTTGGTAAAAGAAAATGATGATAAACAGTACCCAGCTGATAGTCGAAGCTAGTTCGGTTGAAATATGATGGTTGGATAGTCGCTAAATAAGTTATCATGTTTTCCGTCCTGCAAACCATGAAATGAAGTGTTTTTCCAGCCGTAGCTGGCATGGTATCAGTATGAATTGTAGATATAGTTCACAAGATTTTTTGAACTGATTTAACGATTTATCATTCAAGGAAGTTATCAGAGGTCGACGAATATGCAACCAACGTCCAGTCGTCCAGTTACATGCATTTGCTCGAACAGAACCTTCAGATGAGTTTAGAGGCCAAAGGCAAAACTGTACTTCTGGAAATGAAAAAAGAAACAACTTTACCGCAATAGCAAACGGAAAGCTGATGAAACGTGCCGCATGTGAGAATAAGGCAGAACTGGCCGCTTAGATATCCTCTTATTTTAATCGCTTTACTACTATTTTAACATTTACTTTAATTCTAGGTGGCTTAGTTCAGAATAGGATAAATTTGGCACAAAACAAAGAAATACGCCTACTAACTATATAACTATCGTGGTATGAAAATTCCGTATAAGCGCTGTACTAACTTTCTTAGTTTCTGTTTGTCCTTTACAATAAATTTCCGTTAAATTTATTAAATTAAATCCATTTACTGTCCATGAACCTTGAAAAACCATTTTAATGAATTTCTTTTATCGGGACTTTTCGAGCCGCAATTTGCGTATTCTCGAACAAATTTATTAGCAAAAGGTGCGAAAATGTTACCAGTCAGATAGATTAGTCATGGATGGTCCGCCGTTTTTACAGGAAAGAAATTTTATTATTATCATCATGGTAATTAAAAT